GTGGACGCGACGGGTGGGACGCTGACGGCGACGGTGGCGGCGCGAAAGGGTGACGCGGCGCGCGGGGCGATCAAGTATTACGTGCGGTACGACGACGAGGCGCGACCGGAGTGGGTCACGGGCGATCGCGTGCGAGATCGGGCGCCGGAGTCGCGGACGCAGAGTGCGGCGACGACGGGGGGGAAGGAGGGGTCGATCGCGCGTGATGAGGCCGATGGTGGAACGAACGGAGCGCGCGGAGGCGCGCGCGGAGGCGCGCGCGGCGGGGGGAGGGTGGATAAGGCGAGCGCCAGCGACGCGCACGGGAAGGTGAAGCCCACGCGACGGGTGAAATTCATCGAGTTGGGGCGGTACGTGTGCGATTGTTGGTACGACTCGCCGTTTCCGGAAGAGTTTACGGATGGGGAGAAGCTCTTCGTGTGCGATTTTTGTTTCAAGTATCACAGAAAGCGAAAGGCATACATCGCGCACAAGCGCACGTGTGAGCTCAGGCGTCCGCCGGGGAACGAGGTGTACAGACATCCGGCGCAGCCGGCGGCGAACGGGCGCGCGGCGCGCGGACAGTTGCGCATGTTTGAGATTGACGGTTCGAACGCGACGACGTACTGTCAGAACCTGTGCTTGATCGCAAAGTTGTTTTTAGATTCCAAAATGCTGTACTATGACGTAGGAGCGTTTTACTTTTACGTATTGACGGAGCAAGATTTCAACCAGGAGGGGAAACCGCTGTATCGCATCGTGGGATACTTCAGTAAGGAGAAGGGACAAGTGGAGACGAATCTGGCGTGCATCCTCACCTTACCGCCGTATCAAAGAAGAGGATACGGCTTGTTCCTGATCGAGTTCTCCTACGAGCTCTCGAGGCGAGAGGGGCGCATCGGTACCCCCGAGCGTCCACTGAGCGATCTCGGTTCCGTATCCTACACAGCTTACTGGAACCGCGCACTCTCGGAGGAGCTTGACGATTTCGTTGGAGAAATCTCAATCGCCGAGCTGAGCAAGAGGACGAACATCGTCGCCAGCGACATAGTCACCACGTTCGAGCACAATAGTTTGGTTCGAGTCTCCGAGGACCAGTCGAGCGTCGAAATAACCAAAGAGTACGCGGCAGAGACTGCGGCTCTTCAGCTCCAGCTTCGTAACAACGACTCGTTGCGCGTGATCCCCGAGAATTTGAGGTGGGAACCGCATACGAGTTCCGTCGTCGAAGTCGCCGAGAAGCGAAGGAGGACGCGTCTATTCCAATCCGCCGAGAACTCTTAGAGGGAGGCGTGAAAAGCGCGCAAGTTTGTACCAGTCTTAGCAATCGTTAATACAGTGACTATTCGCACTCTCCATCCCAAGGCGCGAGTCCACACGTGAAGAACTTATGCCTGTCGTACACATCGCACCCTTCGTTTTCTTCCTTGGACGCGATCATGGGACTGAGCGGATGACTCGCTAGGTGGGACACGCGCTTTAGGAACGCGACCTTGCCCGAAATGGAACCGCAATACGCGGCGTGGACGAGGTAGCCCTTGTGCTGCGGCCCCTTGCCCGTGTCCTCTTTCGTCACGTGCCGCTCGAGATCGAACGTGAGGTACGAAGGCGCGACGCTCTGCGAGAGAGCCGTGATGATGACACCGTCGGCTCGCGCGTTGGGCGCGATGTTCCACGTCAGTGACGCCTGCTCGGTGTCAGTTGCCGTGGGTTCAAGCTGCATCCAGTCCTCCAGCAGTTTACCAATGTACTCGTTCGGACGAGCGGCGATCAATCCGGTGTTGATCGCCTTCTGCTCCAGGACCCCACCGAAGTCCGAGAGCGTCACCAAGAGCGCGCCCGCATCGAGCTTCTCCTTGATCAACAGACGCGGATCTCGCAATAAGACCGTCGACGCGTCGACGAACAAGCACCCGTATCCCGCTGAAACGAGCGTGTGCACGACGTGAACCTTGCGCCACGTCCACACAATCCGCAGCGCCTTGCCTAAGTCTCCACTCATCTCTTTCCGTCCCGCGTGGATGCTCCCATCGCTATTCATGTGCTCGCCCAATATTTCAATCATCTCTTGGTCCAAAAAGCACATCACGCCCATGGAAACGCACTCTTTGAGCGTGTCACGATCGGTCACCATCACAGTAAGCGCGCTCGAGAAGCCCGGGAGCTTCTTCGCGGACTCTATGAAGAGTTTGGCCACGGGCCAGTACGCGGAATTCGTGTACGTCACCGCGCGCATCTGACCCACCTGGGCGCCGTTCGCTCTGAGGTGATCAATCAAACCAGGAATCGCCCCGGGCTTGTTGTGAAGGTTCGAGATATCGCTCGGCGCTTCACCCTCTTCCGTCTCTTTCTTCACGTCCACGCCGAAGTATCCACCGTTGATGGACTTGAAATATTTCTGCGCCTCGGCCTGGCTCTCCTTGGTTGGCACGGCTTCGTAGCGGTCGTCCTCCGTTGCCTCTTCCTCCACCCGCTTTCGCTCGATCTTCTCTCGCTCCTCGCGTCGTTCGCGTTCGCGTTCATGCTGACGCTTCGCTCGCGTAGATAAGAATCCGGAACCCATCGAAGCCGCCGGTCGCCGCTTCGCGGCGCGTCCCCCCGGGTCGGCTCTCTTCGGCGTCGCGGGCGTCGGCGCCGGCGTCACCGCCTCCGTCGTCTCCGTCGATTCCGCACCGTCCGCGTCGTCCTCGAACTCCTTATCCTCGATCTCACGCATCGCCTCTTGGTCCGCCTCCGCCTCCGCCTGCGCCAACGTGCGCTCCGGCGCCGCGTTCGCGCTCTGATGATAACTCGCGCGCATCAACGCCGCGCCGAACGCCCGTCGCGCCTTGCGCAAAAACGTCGTCTCCGGCGGCGGCGTCCCTCGCGCGTCGGGCTGCACCCCCAACGCCGCCAACGTCATCGCGTTCGAGCGATCGACACCGCTCGATCTCGTCGAACGCGCGCCCGCGAGCGCCGCAACACCCACCACGCACGCGAGCCCGAGCGCCGACCGCCATCCCCGTCCCCGTCGTTCCGTTCGCGCCCCACCGAGCTCGACGTCGTCGACGTCATCCATCCCATACGACGACGACGCCTCGGCGATCGACGCGCGCAGTGGATCGCTCGACGCGTCCGCGCGCGTCGTCGACCTCCCCGGCGCGCTGAACACCCAACTCGCGCGCATCGTCGTCGATTCCGAGCGCCGTGCGATGACGCGTCCGGATCCCGACGCGCGCGGCGGTGTAGAAAAACTGCGCTCGACGAC